TCATTTTTAGTCCACGTGGTTCCAAGTACTAGAAAAAATACTTTCAAATTATACTAAAAATACCGAGAAAGTGAGAGCGTTATTTTGAATTCTAACAAGTCAAAAGCATAGTAAGGAGGGAAAATATTTTCATTCTCTGCTCTCCTATTCCATTTCCACATGGACCATCAGCAACTATTGTGTAAATCATTATTTTCCTCCTTTTCAGTTTCATTGTTGCAGTAGGCAGAACGGGGTGAGCAGTAACATTCCCTGTTTAAAAAGTGCTATTAACCATGTCAAACATTCTTGGATATATTTCACCACTGGGGAAGGAACACTTCTAAGTCAGCCCTGAGGGACTCTGTTTTGCATAATGTGTCTGCAGCAGGTGGGTTAAGGAAGGCATGTTAGCAGTTCTTGTTCATGACACTGGAGGCCAGTCCAGAGGTGGAGGGGATCCTGAGGGGCAGCCATGGCCTGCTCATGACATACAGCTTAACCAAGGTAACCCTATTTGAATGTTTTTTCTTCAGAGTGATAAGTGTTCATTTCAGAGTAATAGCCTATTGTCATCATTTCAGCACATCATACCTTGTTGATCTGAAATGGCATTTCTGTGGTTCTCTCTTTGTTGAACTGCTTTTCCCAGTTGCCTTTGAAATAGATGGCATTCACCAACACAAGTCTGGTCAGGGAATCAAGAACCCCCTCTGCCAACAGGTTCTGAATTTTACCTTTAGGAGACAGACAGACAACATTTATTGTCGGACACATATCTAATTACTATCCACTAGACTACTGACCCTGCAATTAGCACATAAGAGAGAAGAGAAGAGAACTATGTACCACACACAGCAAGAGCTCAACAGCTGGATTGTTCAAATTCACAACCTTCTATCTGGAAACAGCTGTTTACCCAAGCCAAGGCTACCATGAAATACAAGAGGGCGCTTTGCAAAGCACTCACCTTCAGTCCTTTCCTCTACCCAGCCATTTATTTGTTTTCTGGAATCCTCCCACGCATGTATGAAGTCAGTCGGTTCCAGTCCAGCATGGTAGGATTTCTGACTCGACTCTATAAATGACTAACAGGGATATGCTCAACAGATTTGCAGCAACAGATTTTACTCTCATTCAGATGCAGATGTTTCCTAAATACACCAAGAAAATCTGCACACTTTCCTCCCCCAGCATCATATACAACAATTAATGTTCTGGCTGACACGTTTGTATGAGGGCATATAGCACCTATCTGAACTAGGAATGTCCTCTGTATGGTTTTAAGTCAAATGTCCTATTTACTACGCTACAAACTTCTATGTAACTTCCCTGAGAAATGAAGTGGTTACTTTTTTTGTTGTTTTTACTTTATGCTTCAGTCAGATTAAATATGATTTGTTTATAAGACTTTTGCTAAGAGATACATCATCCATTTGTCCCACAGCCAAAAGCATTAGTGGATCACAAAACTCGGACAATGGAGAGACGGACAGATTTTACCCTACTTTGCAACATTCAGGGTATCTGAACAGAGATTCTCCACCAAGTTCAGATACCAAGCTCTGGCATTATCTATTGCATTGCTGGTTCTCAGCTCAGAGAATTCGGAAAGCAGAGCCCAAAGCCTGCCTTTGACCTCCACAGGAAATAGATAGCAAGTACATTATGCCAAGAAACGCCACACATTTAATGGTGACTTACTGAGAGAAACTCAAACGTCTTTTCCCCATAAAGCCGGTTTGCAGTTCTCAGGATGTATTTGGTGTTTGGATCGTTAATTTGAGAGAGAAGGGCTTGATACCCATTGTGAGCATCCTCAGATTTCTTCAGAGAAAGCACCTGCACAAAGACAACGTCTTCAGTGGTTGCACAGGTAATAAATTAGGGAGCAGAAGAGTCAGCAGTATGGAGTTTTCCTCCCTTGGGTCAAACACTGGAGGATTACAGAATGGCTGCAGTGGGAAGGGACCTCTGGAGACCAGAGTACAGCCCCCTGCCCAACTCGCAAAATCTACAGCCAGCGGCCAAGGACTGTGTCCAGATAGACTCTGAATAACTCCAATATGGCAAAAATATGATTTTTGAGAAAATTTAATAGATTTAAATAGTAACAATATAGGACTTTACACTCCTCTTTCACTTTGCAAAAGAGGCAAACATCATTACACGAATGATTGATTGTTCATTTCATACTGCCAATTCATACGTAAAACATATGCCAAGGGGTATTTGCCACCTGGGCAAGTTTAAAAAGAAAAAGTAAACCAAGGTGCAGCTACCACTGTGACATGTAGACAGCAGGGATTTTTTTTTTTTATATGCCTGACTACATTTTGAAAACATATATCATCTGACAATAATAGCAAACAAGAAAGCAGAAGGCGATATTACACATAGCTAGAGATTCATCAAATCAACAACAACAACAAAAAAGGAGGTACTTTTTAATTGCATATGGAAAAATCTGTCTCAAAAACAAAATGAAAAGAAAACCCCACACAACAAAACTGTGAAACCCAACAGAACCCTCTTAATTTCATACTGGACAAAGCTCCCCCTATAAAAACAATGAAAACACTTTCTGCTTACACACACACACCAAAGGAAGAGTTCTGTTCATACAGACCAGAGTTACAACCCTATCTTAGTAGAAGAGCACATCACAGAATATAAGACACGTCTGTTGCTCATATGCTCCCATCACATCCAATCCACTAAGTTTATTTATACCTACCTTTGTTATTTGGGCTTCGGTGTTACCTTTTGAACCCAGCAAAACCATAGACAAAGCAGAAGAAATACTAAAAGGGGAAAAGAACAGATTCTGCCCACTTTTCTTCTCACACAATTTTCTTAAGAGGTCCAGGGCAAAAGTGGTATTTGCTGCACAGAGGCTTTCCATGGTTCTGAGCCTGGGAGATAAAACAGAACCAGAATGGATCAAATTTACTTGAACACAAAAAGCTATTTCTCTCTTTTACATTTCCCAGCATAAACTAGCCAGCAAATATCACCATTAGGCTGGAAAATTATCACCTTACTACAGTACTGATGTGGTGGCACAAGCACCTTAAACCTCATACAACTCACTTGAGTTATTTTAGGGATCTACTGTCTGATTTTGTATTTCCATCCCATACCTATGTAATATTACATCTTTTGAGATCATCAGGCACAACGGGATTTTGTTCCGCACTTACCGATAGAAAGCTGTCCTCACTTCACTAAGAAAAGAATCTGCTTTTACACAAAAAACAGACCACAAAGTTAGACATGGGAAGGGCTGAAATACAAACTCTTACCTTCTCTAAGTCTATAGATCTTCAGCAGTACCTGCAGCTTACTCCGACGTGTGCACGCTGTGTTTAAAACAGCTGGGCTGGGAGAAGTCACCAGAATGAGTTGTCCTACAAGATAAAAAGGGAAAGAAAAAAAATTAATTCCGTCAGCATGACAGATTACTGCAATTTCCTACTGTTGTATAAAGAAAAAAATCAAAGTCCATTTCAGTTCCATTTTATTGCCTGCAACACGGAAACGCACACAATAAAAAACTTGGTGCCTGTCATCCTCATGGTCTGTGTAGGTAGGTAACCTGAGATTAAACCACACACCTATTAAAAGAGCAATAAATACTAGAAGGATGAGTTTACCACAGATAAGTATCACGAATCGTAAGATAGTGGCTGCTAGTAAATGTCTCTGTGTTTTGTTCTTCCCTTAAGGCAGGGCCTACTGTTGATATGTTGCCACAAAATACAAACCCAGCCCCTTATTGAAAGTACTGATTCATTATCTCAGACAACTAGGTGAAAAGTGCAAGTTTCTGCATGCATGATTTTCCACCCAAGAAAATTTCTCGCTAGGAGCTTCGCTATAAACAGTAGTAATGCTCTCCTCCTTCTCTTCTCCCATAACTGAAAACAACACCAAATGAACAAAAAAACCCAAACTCCAATTGCATGTGAGACTTGTAATTTATGTACTTTACAGCATAAGTAGGAGACACATAGTGGTCATGTTAGTTACAGTGAAAACCAGAATTTTTCTAATATCCCAATACCTGCAGATTACTAGCAATAAGGTTTTTTGACCTCCAGGTCAAAACACCCAGGAATAGTGACAGCAGCAAGCAGTTATTGTCTAGAAAGTTTCTGCAGGGCTTCCATGACAGGCAAGAATTTACAGACAAAAGGATGCAACTTATGCTTTTTGCATGCCTGAAAACCAGTGCATTTAATCAAATTGTAAGTAGTATTGCAACAGCTGGGACACATGGCTAGGAGTTATATCTGCACAGTTAACTCTGCTTTCTCTGCAGCTCAGGAATACAGTGTAACTACTGACATCCTTCCCATCAGAGCAGTTTTGGAGACAACACACAATGACTGCACTAAGTACATATTTGTCAATCAATTGTAAACTGCAGCAAAATCCTCGGTGATCAGAAGGTTTGCCAACAGCAACTCATTCCTCACTCTCGTCTCCTGGTGGGCTCTGCAGGTCAGCAGTAGGGCACTCGTGCTGATGCTCATTTCTGCATGCCTGGACCCTGTGTGCTCCTACCAGTACAAATTTGAAGCATCTTATCTCAGCAATCAACATCTATGCTTTAGGACAGTCTTTATGGACCAAAAGGCTGCATCTAGATCAGACAGCACACACTGCAATGCGAGGGCATGGGGGAACCCAGCCAGCGCAGGGTACAGCTCCTCTCCAGCCTGCAGCTTTCAAGAGACGTTTCCCACGAACACTATGACATGGATGACTGTCCAGCGTACAAGGACCCTTTCCCACCTTCTGTCAGCTGCCTCAGCCGACTGTTTCAAACACAGAATGGTTCCTAAGGGGAAAGCTCGGGGCGATGACGAGCATGCTGTGTCCATTTCCACAGAGAAAACTGCGTCTGCGCTACGGACGCCCTTTTTCCCACCCTCTGAACCAAAGTAATCTTCCTTAAGGAACAGGGCTTCATTTTAGAAGAGCTGGGAGCGATGTTAAACGATCTGCAGGGTAAGACCGCTGACAGTTCCTGGTAATGGCTCCTCCCAACACACCTGTCCTGGGGCAGGCGGTGGGATGCGTGCGATGACACAGCCCATCCCCGCCAGCTCTCGGCCTCTGCTCATAAGCGGGAGTGGAGAGAGGCAGGCAGGAGCCTGACACTGTCCCAGCAAGCTGAGGCACAAGAAGCCTAGGGTTTGGCACTCCCCGGGGCGAAGAGTCCCTCCTCCGCCCCCGCACGGCGCTGGGCACCGCAGGGGAGGCGTTTCA